GTAGAAAGGGAAAATGCTCCATGAAACCCCTGTAGGCAGGGACTATGGCCATTCTCCGCAGGAAGCAGATACGGAAGAAGAGACCTTCCGCCCCTCAACATCCATACTAATAATAAGGGGTTCATGGCTCTTAGAAGAGAAGTAGGCATGAAAGTTAGGGGGTTTCAGGTCTGCCTGCAAAGACACTGAGGTCATCCTATCTTAGAAGGGGCCCGCCCTTATCTGCCCACAATTAAGCAAGCCAGAAGGCATTTTTTTTAACTCACACAAAGAAATCAGTACGCAGAGTTTTAGGTACCAGTTTAAGCCAGTCACTTGCACCTATGCAATGAAGACCCCAACGACCTTCAACTCACCTGAGTCTCATTATACCATCATTATAATATGATGCATATGCCCAGAAGTTCATTAATATCATAACAGACTGAATTCTGGGAACAAACATGCGCAGAAAGCAAAATGATGACTCATTGAGTCCTGTCAATCTTAGCTATCAATCAAAGAAGCCCACTCTATAAATAACCACCCACAGCAAAAAGGGATAAAAACCCTGAAGTCTTTGTTACCAGGCCTTTTGAGCCATGCTTCTCTTGCTCAGGACCACTTCCACTTCTGGAAGTGTACTTTCCCTTCTAATAAAACTTTTCTTTCCTACTGTATTTCAGTGTCTTGCTCAATTCTTTGAGACATCAAGAACCTGGACAACGCGTGCCGGGAGAGGACCCCACTCTCCGGTAACACAACTACCCTATAGTGACTGGAATCAGTCAGTGGTTGCTTCTGGAGTGGAGGAATTGACAGAGAAAGGGCACGAGGGAAATCTCCGGGTGTTTGTGGGAGCATTTTCTATCTTGATCTGATTAGTGATTACATGAACATATGTATTTATGAAAAACTCATTGATTCAAACCCTTAAATCTGTGCCTTTTATGCACTTCACCACATTTAAGTTATACTTCACTGACAAAAAGGAAAAGAAAAATAAGTACTTATACACTTCTCCTTATAGAATCTATATGATGGGAAGTTTCCATAACATGGTTAGACTGAGGATAAAAAAGCCATGTTTTTTTCATCGACCCCATGTCCAACACCAGCTACTATTCCGTATCTCTGCTCCCTAGTCAAGCTTCTTCTTTTTGGAAGCTTTTGCTCCCCTGGCACCAGGTCGTCCCTGCTCCTGATACTCCTGTTCCCTCTCAGCAACTCTCTCGGATGCTGGTCCTGTCCCTGGTTCCTGCTCCCAAAAGTAGAGGCCTCAGGGCTTGGTCTCTCTCTCTCTGTACCTCCTCTGCCTGGATGGTTTCAACAAAACTCAGGTTTTTAAATATCATCTATATATTAATAGCTCCAAAACTTAGCTTACTTGTACGGTCATTGATAAAATAACAGGACATCTGAGATTTGCTTTAAAAAACGAGGAAGAAATTGCAGGGGAAAGTATGCTTCGATATGGGAGGGGAAAACAGAAGAAACAAGACAAGTAAAATATAGATGACAATCAATACTGGGTGATGGATATATGAGAATTCTTTATATCATAATACCTTTGTGTATGTTTTTAGAAAGTGTGTTAAAATTCTGGCTTCTCCCCCTAGGACCACTTACCTGATGTCCAATATTCCTCTGAAAGTTAAGAAGTTCAAAGACTGTCGATTTCCCATCAAGACTACTCCTCCCCATCTTGGTAAAAAGCATCATTTTTCTTCCAGTTGGTCAGTTCCAACTTTAGGATAACTTTTAAGTCATCCCTGATTCATGCTTCCTCTCACACAACCCTCTTCCTGAGTCACCATCATCTCTTGCCCGGGCAGGGACATCAGCTTTCTCATCTCCTGTTTCCGCCCCTGCCCAGCTGCAGGCCATCTCCTCACAGCAACCAGTATTGTTTTCATTTAACTTTTTTGTGCATAGATAAGTCACATGGTTCAAAAACGTAGAAGTCTTAAGTCTCTCTCACAGCTCGGATCCACATCTGTCCATAATGCTCACTTCTACGGACAATCGATTTTACTAATTTTTGGTGTTCACCAGAGAAATCTTTATAAAACATAACATCACAACATGTCGGTCCTTGCTCATAGCTCTCCAATGGCTTCCTATTACACTCGGAAGTGAATTCCAAAGCCCTTACCATGGCCTGCACGACCCCATGTAACCTAGCGCCAATCTCTATCTCCATCCCTAAATAATCTTACCTCTCTTCCCCTCGTTGTGCTTCAGCCACACCAGTCACCTGGACAATCTTTAAACAAGCCAGGCCCCAGGCCCACTCCACCTCCTCGGGCTCTTTCCACTTCCTGTTCTTCAGCCTCTACATAGGGCTCATTTCCTTCTTTCAAGCCTCTGCTCCAGTATCACCTCCTCTCAGCAGCCTTCTCTGACCACATGTCACTCCCCGTGACCTCTGTCATTCTCAATTCCCTCATCTTGATTTTTTCTTCCAAGCACCTTTTATCTGACATCAGCTACCCTACTAGAATATCTACTCCCAGAGGGCAGATGCTCTGGCTTATTCACTCTAGGACAGGATCTTCAACCAACAGCCATGCCTGGTAGACTACTCGAGTTCCATAATTCATTTAATATACAAATGAATAAATGAAATGAATTAAGAGATGGATAGGTCATTTGGCAATGGCTCTCAAAATTTCCAATTGAATGTATCCTTTGACCCAGCAATTCTATCTCAAACAAGATATTCTACGAATAATACTATCATATACATGCAATTGGATGTACAAGGATATTAATTGCAGCGAACATTTCTAAGAGCAAAAGTTCAGAATACAAGCACTCTCCGGGTGCTTGACTGACTCACCACTAGGCAGGCTGCCCGGTGCCAGGGAAAAAAATGTGGGCTCGCCCTGGAGTGAGACCGGCTTGGGTTTGAATCCAGACTCTGCTACTTCCTGGCTATAGAGCCTTCAGTAAGATCCTTCTCATTTTCCATATCTGTTAAATAGGGAGAGGGGAAAGTTGTAGTGATGTAAAACAAAGCTTGGTACACAGTGGGCCAATGGTCAATGCCAGGCTCCTTATTTTCCCTTTGTTAAGTCATTTCTATCTCTGAGGGTTGCCCAGATGACAAAGTGGCATGATGGTGAGCTGGGGTTGAGAAATCCAGTTAAGGAAAACAAATAGAACCCAAGATGAAGATGCAAAAAAGGACACTAACAGACCTAATACAAAGATGGTCTGCCGTGTAAATCTCCCTTAAACATCCACAATCTTCTGGAGAATCTATAAACAGGACTCAGTCTGTGTGATGTTTCCACCCAGCCTGTGGCAGCCTAGATAAATGGTTCCACCTGGCACCAGTGCTGAGAAAATGGCAGCAGGGATGAGGCTCAGAGGGGAGGGGACAGCTCAGAATCGATCGCTATCGTTATTATCTTTGTACATCACAAAATAAGGATAACATATGGCGCTATTATGCACCAGGTACTGTTCTAGGCACTTTCACCCATTTAACTCTGTCAGTTACATCACAAGGTGCTGTCCTCTCCATGTTACAAATGAGGACATAGAGGAAGGTTAAGGAACTTGGTCAAGGTCAGCCACCTAATATGTGAACCCGCTATCAAGCTCTTAACTACAATGCTTCACTATAACGGTAGCTCCAGAAGGGAACTGAGAACTGGTGCTTTAGGAATGGAATACGGAAACCAAAGGAGACTTTTACTGTGTCCTCCCATTGGCTTCCTGAATTGTCAGAATGCATGTATACTCCCTATTCGAACATAAAAACATTTTTAATGAGATTTCAAATGAAAAACGGTAAATTCTCCCATTCACCTATACGTCTACGACTATGCCAGAGATACTTCTCTCTCGAACACTCTCGCTGATTACCACCTAAGCCGCGAGCCCTTTGGCCTGCGCATGCGCGCTCCGCGACCCGCGTTCCTCTTTGGCGCGCACAGAGCGCTCCGCCCGTTGGCGGTTGAATTTTCGACCTTTGACTGGGTTTCCCACTCCCCTTCGCCGCGGCCTCGGAGGGATTTAATTCGCAGTCCAACTCCCAACAGTCCGCATCGCTCCGGCCTTCAAGATGAAGCCTGACACTTAGGGTCCGACCAGCCCACCTGAGTTCAAGCCAGCCCGGCTCTTTCTCCCGGGGTTCCCTCCGCCTGGAGTGCCTTTGCCCGCCCTTCAGGGTCCGATTGAACCTGCGCCCTAAGTGGTCTGAACCCCTAGTTGTCCCCCTCCACAGACCGGAAGCACACTCTTCCAGCGCACACGCCAGGTCTGATTCATTCCTGTGTTCTCAGCATTCGCTCAGCCCTGGTCAATGAAACTCCTCCCTGCCGCCCCACCCCACCCCACCGCGTCCCGCCAAAACCACTGAGGAGGCAGGACTCGAACCTGAAATCTCCAGAGCCGCCCTCTCTCCCGCTTCTCGGCGTGCACACGCGCACTGAGGCCGAGCCGCATCGCCCTCCCGCCCCTTCCCCGAACTCGCATGCGCACTGAGGCCAACCACCTCCCACAGCGCATGCTCGCTCGGGCGCTCAGGCTCGCGGGACCTGATCTCACGTTGGCCCCGCGATACCTCCTCCTCCTCCTCTTCCTTCGGGCTGGCCTTTTGCGGGTGCCACTTCCGGGGTGCCCAGACCGGTTCTGGAGTGACCGGGCCTGCTCGCTCTCTCTCTCCCCCACGGTCCTGGACCCCAGACACCATTTACAGGCGAGTGGCTGGTGGCAGAATCTCCCCGCCCCGCACCTGTCACGGAGAGCGCGCGCCGCGCCCCAGAAGCCAATCAGCAGCCGCCTTAGGTAAGGGGCACGCGCGCTCGCGGGCCCGCCCCCTTCTTGACCGTTAAACTGTCGCTCGGACGCCGGTGGTGTGCGGAATTGAGTAGGGGGCCGAGATTAGTCCTTTAAGTTCCGGGTTGGTGGGAGTGTGTTGGGAAGGACACGTTAACCTCTAAATAGGAACTTCGGTTCTGGGAGACCCTCATAGAAGGCCTGTAAACCGACCATAAAATACTGCAGACGCCTCTCTAATAACTTGTCAAGAGAAACTTGAATTCTGGAAATACCCTCTCAGAGGGCCTACAAAAAGGCCCTTAAATACTGGGGATGTACTCCAAAGTCCTCCAAATACTGTAAATGGAAACTTAAGTCGTGGCAGGCCTAGATGCCCAATTACAGGGAATTCCCACATAGGAGCCTGTAAATATATGTTTAAGTGTTAGAGAGTCCGTGGAAAAATGTGCAAATAAAGTCCACTTCGGGAGTGGGGGAATGGCTCATTAGAGTGGGCGTAAATATGGAATTAGGAGTTGAGAGTCTCCTCATATCGTTTGCAAATAGACACTTAGGTTCTGGGAGATTGCCAAAAGGGGTGTGTTAATAGATGCTTAAGTACTGAGAAGGTGTCCCAAAGAAATGTGTAATTAGATTCAATTTCTGGGAGGTCACCGTAAGAGTCCCGTAAATAGACACTTGAGTAAACTGGCTTTATAGGTTTTGGGGGAATCTCCAAAGGAGCCTGGAAACAGCATTGGGGGGGCCCAAAATTGCATGTAGGTGGACTCTTATTCTGAAGAGCACCCCATAGCTCTGTTATACTGTGGATTTCCCAGAATACCATGCTAATGGACCCTTATTTGCATGGGAAGGGGGGTCCTCACAGGTTTATGAACGGATACTGTGGATTTCCCAGAATACCATGCAAGTGGACTCTTACTTGCATGGGAAGAGGGGTCCTCACAGGTTTATGAACGGTTTAGTGCTGGGGCACAATCCTCATGGAGGCGTGAAAACAGACACTTGAGCACTGCTGAGGTCTTCAGGATGTGTAAACGGACACTTAGGACACTTAATTGCAAGGAGCGGACACTTAATTGCAAGGGGCTGAAGGAGGGAGTTCCAAGTACTGAGGGGAATCTCCAATGGAGACTGTAAACAGTCATTTAAGTGCTGAATGAATCATTTTCATAAGCATTTGTAAACAAGCCTTGTCCTCCTCTGAGTAGGCAATCTTCAACCCAGTTTGTGCCTGGAGTAGGGGTCATGTACACCAGTGAGAGAAGAGCTAGACAGCCCCCTGCTTAGCAAAATTATTCCTGCATCCTCTAAACCAGTGGTCTCCAACATTTTTGTTACCAGAGACCGATGCTCCTGTGAGAATCTAATGCCTGATGATCTGAAGTGGAGCCAAGGCAGTGATGTTGGTGCTGGAGAGCGGCTGCAAAGGCTGCAAATATTTGCTCTCTAGCCCTCACTGTGTGGCCCAGTTCCTAACAGGCCACAGATGGTACTAGTCCATGGCCCGAGTTTTGGGGACCTCTGCTGTAAACATACCTCGGTTCTAGAAAAAGGGTCTTGCAGAGACCTATTAATGTCATGTACTAGAATGGGCTTGGGGGGGATTCACGGAATGACTTTAACAAGCATTTAAGAGCTAGCTAAACAAGAGTCAGGAAACTTTTTCTGTAAGGGGCAAGGGAGTAATTACTTTTGACTCTGCGAGCCATATTGTCTCTGTCTCAACTACTCAGCTCACCATTGAATCAAGAAGGCAGCATAGACAATGTGTAAATTGGTGGCTGTGTTCAAATAAAACTTTATTTGCAAAAAGAAGGCAGATCAGATTTGGTCCTTTGGTTGTAGTTTGCCAACCTGACCTTTGAGCTGCATGGCAGATGGCCTTATAATCCTGCTAACAGAAAGATAAATACTCAAGAGACTTTCCTAGAATGATGTGTAAACAGCTGAGGGAACTTCCTAGGGACCTGTTAACAGATACTTAGTTGATAGTGAGTGGGTCATGTAGGTAGCCGTACATTTTATAACCTTTTAAATACTGGTGAGACCTTGGAGTGTAATGGATCGCAAACCATCAGGAATGGAAGATAAACAGACACTGAAATTTAGAGGGACACCACATGAAAATAGGCCCTTGAATGTTGGAGCCCCACCCAAACATATGCCAGTAATGGGTAATCGAAAGAGGGGTTGTCTCACTGTTACTGATTTGTAAGAAAATGCCTTGCTGCATTTTGGGAAAGAGAATGTCCCATTCTTATGTGACCCAGCCCCTATGAATTATCTTGGAACAAAGTAATTAATAATGGGCAACAGTTTCGGCTACAAGTAGAAATGTGTTTGTTTCTCACTGCATCCAGGGGTAGGCAATTCAAGGTTAATAGGGGACCCCTGAACCTTGTATCTTGTTCTACCATGCCTGCCTTCCATTAAGTTCCTTCACAGCCCAAGATGGCTGCTTGGGATCCAGCCTCCACACCCACGTTCCTTCCAGCCAGGAGGAGGAAGGGGCAAAAGACATGTGCCAGTGTCCGTGAAGGAAAGTTTCTGAAAGCTGCCAAAACACGCTTTTGATGTTATACCATTGGCCAGAAAGAACTTGGTCACATGAGCACACCTAACTGCAAACTAGGCTGAGCAGTGTATTCTAGATAGTCATGTACCCAGAACTTAGGGCTTTATATTTTTAGAAGTGAAGAATGGATGTTGGAAGCAGCTGGCAGTCACTTTCTCAGCTACAGAGCTCTCTTGAAAGGAAATGCCTTAGTATCTGGGATGTACCAAGTAGAGTGAGGAGAGACTCTCTTTACCCTGGAATCAAACTGACCTCTTTCCATCTCTAGGTGACCATGTCTGAGTCTGGTCACAGTCAGCCTGGGCTCTATGGGATAGAGAGGCGGCGACGGTGGAAGGAGCCTGGCCCTGGCGGCCCCCAGAACCTCTCTGGGCCTGGAGGTCGGGAGAGGGACTACATTGCACCATGGGAAAGAGAGAGACGGGTGAGTTTCTAGTCCCAATGGCAGCACTCATGTATCTACTCATTCCACAAGTGTTCGTTGAGCACCTTCCATGTGCTAGACGCTAATCTAGATGCTAGGGATATATCTGTGAACAAAACTGAGTGCCCTGAGGGAGTAAGAGCATAGAGAGCGATACAGGGAGTTGTCTTAGATGAGGTGGCCAGAGAAGGCCTCTCTGAAGAGGTGACTTTTGAGCAGAGATATGAACGAGGTGCGGGAATGAGCCATGACAAAATCTGAGTAGAGCTTCCTAGATAGAATAGCTAATGCAGAGACCCTGAGGCCAGTATGGCTGCAGTGGATGGAGACAGAGGGGAAGTGGTAGAAGGATGAGGTCATAGAGGTAACTGGGGCTCGATCATGTAGGACCTCATAGGCCTCGGAAAGAACTTTGGATTTCACTGAATGAAAGTGGCATTGGAGAGTTTGAGCTGAGAGGTGCCATAAGCTCATGTTTTAAAAAGTTGTATAATGTTAACTGTTTCTGTTCATTGAGCAGCATGCAGTTGCTAGTACTGTGCGAAGTGCTTTACATCCTTTGGGTCTTTCTGAACCCTTGCCCTGTGAAGTAAAACCTATGATAGATCTGATTTTTATGAATGAGGAAGCTGAGCCTCAGGGGAAGAGACCTACCCAAAATCAGTAAGGTTTGGGGCCAGGACTCGAACCCAAATCCAGCTAATCCTCAAGTGTAGCACCATATGCCTGCTGCAGAGAGCATCCTGGACTGAGAATCAGCCTCGGTGTGGACCCCGGTCTGACCTCACTCTTCTGTGCTTAGGTGACTTAACACCAGAACCTGCCACCCCGGTTTTTTTCTCCAGGGCCCTGCCCACCTCAGCTCTTTGGTGGGGTGGAAGTTAACAGTTGGGACCAGTTTTTGAGCCGTAAAACTATGAACATGAAGAATAATTTATTCACAGCAAGCTGGGCTCTTGTTTCTTCCTTCCTTTGGGTTACACACATGTGAGAACACGGTCTCTCTTCCCCCACACACATTTCTTTACCCCTTCAGCTCCAGTCTCTGAACAAGCAGCTCCCAAATCTCAGCTTTGTCTCTGACTCGGTACGGAGCCCTGGCAGCCTCCTGACTAGCCAGTAGTCATCCTCCATGACCCCTGCTGACCTCGGCATCTTCCGCCATTTCTCCTCCCAGTGTCAGTGATAGCCCATTGGGTCTCATCCTAGACACCCCCCATCTCTCCCTCACCACACGCCAGTCAGGCACCAGTGTACACATAATGCCTCCTGAATGTATCTCCTGTCCTTCATCTTCTCTCCATCCTCCCAGCCTCGGTCCCAGCTGTCATCTGCTTCTTCCTGGCCCTTCCCACCTGTTGCCCTCACTGGCCCCGTGGAAGCCATAGCCTTTCCTTCTACTCTCACAGCTGTCCTTTCCAGAACACTTTTGTATCATCCTTTTGTTTGTTCTTCACCAGAGGCCAGTGAAGAGCAGGATTTAAATAAGAATCTTCAATATGTGAGTGAAGAAACAGACCATTAAGGGGTCAAGACACTCCCAAGGTTAATCAAGGAACCAGAGAAAGAACAGGGCTCAAACTCAGGTCTCCCCGCTTTCTCAAGCAGACTGGGAGTGAGTCAGAAGAGGCGTGAAGAGGGCAGGTTATGGAATCAGTCCATGGATCTGGCCAGCGCCAGAGCGGGGCCTAGGAGGACAGGGCCAGGGTAGCAGGTGTTACTCGCAGCTCTCAGGAAATGAGCACCTGCCAGGTGTCAGATGCCACATGGACAGTTCGTGAGTTGTATCTTCTCTCAGACTCATAGTAGTCTTGTGAGGAAGGAATTTCCATCCCCACTCACCAGGCGAGGAAACAGGTATGAGTGAGGGTAGTTCCTTATCCAGATTCACATAGCAGGAGGCTGGCGGGTGTGAACCGAGGTCCACCTGGCTCCAGAGCCCTTGCTCCTTTGCCCTGGGCTTGTTGTCTGGCAGGGATGGCTGAGCAGAGCGGTTGACAGCAAGGTTCTGGAGCCAGGTTGTCTGGGGTCAAATTCCAGCCCTGTTGCTTTTTGGCTGTGTGACCTTGGGCGAGCCAGTGAACCTCTCTTAATTTCTTCATTTGCAAAGTGGAGATAATAATAGTATCTATCTCATAGGGCTGTTGGTAGAACCAAGGGAGTTAATACATGAAGGCATTTCCATTAGTACGTGGCACGAAAAGGCCCTCTGGAGTGGTGTGGGGGCATGGGGGACTTCCTGAGTAACCGCCCTCCCTCACCACAGGATGGCAGCGAGGAGACCAGTGCATCCGTCATGCAGAAAACCCCCATCATTCTCTCAAAACCTCCAGCAGAGCGGGTGAGCAGGGAAGACTGCGGAAGGGGAGGCTGGGAGCAGTTAGGGCATGGATCTCTCTCTTTCTGACTGGAACCTTCTCACTCCCATAGTCAAAGCAGCCACCGCCTCTAGCAGCCCCCACTGCCCCACCTGCTCCAGCCCCTCTTGAGAAGCCCATCGTCCTCATGAAACCACGGGAGGAGGGGAAAGGGCCCGCGGCCACAACAAATGCCTCAACCCCTGAGGGCACTGCCCCGCCACCCCCTGCGGCCCCTGTGCCACCCAAGGGGGAGAAGGAGGGGCAGAGACCCACGCAGCCTGTGTACCAGATCCAGAACCGGGGCATGGGCACTGCTGCGCCGGCGGCCGTGGACCGTGAGTAGGGGCTGAGCAGAAGCCGGTTGGGAGCTGGAGCCCCTCACACAGTTCCTCACCGTGTCCTCCGCCTCCTGCTTTGTGTTTTCAGCTGTCGTGGGCCAGGCCAAACTGCTGCCCCCAGAGCGCATGAAGCACAGTATTAAGTTGGTGGATGACCAGATGAATTGGTGCGACAGTGCCATCGAGGTACTGAGGGGGAAGGGGTCTGTCCCTGCTTAAGCTTCCCCGGGTTCCACACCCTTGCCTCCTCCACCCCTAGCTTCAGACCAGACAGCTTCCAGGCAGTGGCGGCAGCGAGAGGGAACGGATCCGAAAGCTCTCACCGGCCAGGGCAGTTTCAGTAGCTTCACTAGCTCAGCTGTACTGGTTAGTAAAGTACCGAGCTGGTTCGATACTGTTGGCTGAGGTACTCCCACTACCAGCTAGATGCACAGGGGTCTCCTGCACCATCCCTGAGCAGGGCAGCCTCCTGGACACTGCTTCCGTCCCCCTTCTAATTGATGGGAACCCATGCTGTGCCAGTGTTAACTAGTTTGAATGTCACTCCTCAAAGGGACCCCTTCCATCCCAGCAGCCCCTGCTCTAGCTCAGATTGCCCATTCCGGGACTGTCATATCTACCTCTGGTCTCCATTTTCCATCTTCTGCTGCTTCCCCACCCCCAGCCCCTGTGGCCTGTCTGATCACACTCAAATTCACCCTGATATGTCTCTTCCTTCCCTAGTAGCTTAGGCTTGTTAGGACAGCATGCCAGGCCCATCTGTTACCTGGCTCTGCTGACGCTGTTCTCTCCTACGCTGGTATCAACTGAGAACTTAAATAAAACAAAGGAGCCGGTGTCCAGGCCCTACCCTTCAGCACTGTTGAGCAGAACCGTGCGCTGATAAAGGCTTTCTGTGTTTGTGTTCCCTAGTGTGGGAGCCACTGTCCCCGTGTGTGGCTTTTGAGCTCTTATCCACATATTTCAGTGTGTGGCTAGTATAACTGAGGAATTGGATTTTTAATTTTATTTAATTTTAATTAAATAGGCACATGTGGTCATTGGCTGCCATGTTGAACAGGGCTCACCCTCGATCTGCTGTGATAGGTCTAGAGTTAGGCTCAGCGTTAGCATGTTTTTAAAAGTGCTCCAGGTGATTCAAAGGGGCAGCAGCCACAGGTGAAGACATACAGTAAGTCCTCAGTGTTATCGAGGGGTTCTTGGAAACTGACTTTAAACAGAATTACATATAACAAAACCAGTTGTCCTTCCCGTAGGCTAATTGATAGAAACAAGAGTTAAGTTTCTACAACATATTTTTGGTCATAAAAATATTGCCAAACTTCTGAATAAAGATCCAAAACGCTTCTAATATTAAACATTGAAATAAGTGTGAGCTATACATACATTTAAGAAAGATTAGTAAAAACAAGTCAGGTAATTATTTTCCAACCCACTTATTTCACTTCAGTGTGGCCGGTGGCCGGAGCCTATTCCTGCAGCTCAGGGCCAAGGTGGGAGGGCAACCTGGACCGTACGCCCTTCTACCGCAAGGCCACTCACGCCCACACTCACTCAGACTGGGACAGTGGAGATGTGCGAGGAAACCAGAGTCCCTGGGAAAACCCACACAGACCGTGGTCCTGGCTGGGAAGCAATTTTTCTTTCTCATCAACCTTATAACAGAATGACATTTTTCAAGGACCTGCTGTATCTGGTTTCCTTGAGGAATATCTCATTCGCCCCCTTCTGGCGAAAGTCAGCAGAGCTGGTGGCCCAGAGGTGAAGGTCTCAGGAATTTCTAGGACTCAGATCCCACAGAGAAGAGCCCGGATGGACTGATTCCCCCTTCCTGCACACCGCTCCCTTTCTCATGCTTCCCCAAGTTTTCCCAGCCTGCCTGGACCAGAGAGCCTCCAGCAGTTAGCTCCAGTAGCCCTCGGCTACCCAATCCTGTCCTCTTCAGCCTGTTCCTTCGTTCCTGTGCCTCTTCCCCAAAGTCAAGCTTTCCTTTTTCCTACCTCTTTCCAGCCAAACTGACTCCTATTACCTCTTTTCTGCTTTGGAACTCTCACAGATGCTGTTCTTTGTGTCCAGAACATTTCACACACCCCACCACACACACACACACACACACACAATCCCTTTGCCCAGTTGAAGGCAAGAATTTTTCTTCATATCTGACAAGGTGGGTGGGCAAGCCTCAGAAGTCTGGGGCCCCCTCCTATCATTCCCACTCTAGCAGCTGACAGATTCATGAGGGCCGCATTCCTGTGTCTTCCCGCAGTACCTGTTGGATCAGACCGATGTGTTGGTGGTTGGTGTCCTGGGCCTGCAGGGGACAGGCAAGTCCATGGTCATGTCACTGTTGTCAGCCAACACTCCTGAGGAGGACCAGAGGTGAGGGGGCACGAGGTAGGGGCGTGGGAGGCCAGGAGGGAGGTGGGCACCACCTGAGGCAGGAGGGCGGGCCTGGGTGGTGTAGTGCTGTTACCAGAGGATGTTGGGCGGTTGCTTCCCCTCCCTTGGCCTCAGTGTCTTCATCAGATGAGAATGATTTGGGGCTGGACTTAAGTCTTTGTGTAGCTGCAAGGTGACCAGTCCTGTTCCTCCCTCCCTTCCTGCCTTGCCCCGGGAAATGGTACAGAGCCCAGCCAAGAAATGGGATGATGTACTCATTTGCCTTTGGTGTCAGCCCTGCCACTCACCAGCTGGTTGACCTTGGGCAGGTCACTTTACCTCCCAGTATCTCACTTCCTCATCTGTAAAGTGGGTTTTAGGAGGATGGAGTAAGATCAGAGAGCCCGGCACAGAGCAAGTGCTCACGGGGTATAGATGATGTGGCCTGCAAAACAGAGTGGGGACAGAGACCCGGATATAGGCCCTGGGTCCTAGACCCGCCTCAGTCCTGCATTCTTGAGTAAGGACAGGGTGTGATCGTGAGGATACAGGATGAAGTTCCAGGAGAGGATTTGGGACAGGGAGCTTAAGTACTAGGGTCCAAAACTGAGGGAAGAGAAGGAAAAGGGAGAAAGGTAGGGATTAGGGAGTAGGGGACATACACAGGCTAAGGAAGACTCGAAATGGAGGAGAAGGGGTAGTAGCCACTGGGGGTTGTCTCAAAAATTAAGATT